ATTAGAGGGATATACATAACATGAAGGGGACAAGTTAGGGGTGTCCATGCAATAGGAAGGGGAGGGACTAGCGTGGGAAGGTACACATGTAACAAGATGGGTGGATTCTAGAGTCCAGATGGCAGACTAACCTTGGTTGTCGCTGAGCTGACTTGACCTTGGATATTGTTCTTCTCCATGGGAACAGGCTATGATCCTTATAAGAAGGGAGTGGGGCTCTACTTAGGTTTAGATGGTCTGACTGCTTTTTATGGTCGGTAACCTTTAGGCACATAGTCATCAAGCAGTTGACCTTCAAGAGTATAGTAAGCAACCATATGCTTGCAGACAGCACTTTAAAATTGGCAATATTATGCGGGGGACATTGAGGGGAATAACGCTTACTTAGGAGAACATGACTGGAATATATCTCCAACAAACAAAGGTGAAGGTCTCTCTCCACGGGAGCCCCGGCCTCCCAGTCTCCTTAATGTCTAGGGTTGAGTGTTTGTCCGAATACTCTCTGTTTCCCCGTTCTGTTTCCCACACAGGAGGTGGTTGAAAATACCATGGCATGGGTCAGGTGTGCCTTGGGCCTCACAGTGTTATCTATGCATTTGAAGGGGTCTTTTGTCGCAGATTTGCCAAATACAGTAGTATGTTGTTAAATTTCTTGACTGCTGTTTCTTTGGACGTTGGTTGTGGAGCCAAGTAAAATAGAATTCTTACAACTTCAATGTTTTCCCCCTTGAGCACCATGATGCTTATCAGTCCAGTTGTAAGAATTCTTGTTTTCTTTATGTTGAGGTGTAATCCATCCTGAAGGCTGTAGTCTTTCATCAGTAAGGGCATCACAAGCAAGGTTGTCATCTGCACCTCACAACTGTTCATGAGTCGTCTCTAGTCCTGACGCCATGTTCTTTTCAAACATTCAGCTTCTCAGGGGACTTACTCAGCATACAAATTAAGTATGGTGAAAGGATCCAACCCCAACACACATCTTTCCTGATTTTAAACCACTCAGTATCCCCTGTTTTGTTCAAATGACTGCCTCTTGATCTATGTACAGATTCCATGTGAGCACACACTTAAGTGTTGTGGAAGCTCCACTTTTTGAGATGTTATTTGCAATATTTTATGATCTACACAGTCAATCACCTCTGTGTAGTTTAAGAAATATCCTTCTGGTATTCTCTTTTTTCAGCCACAATCCATCCAACACCAGCGATGTCATACCATGCCCTCTTCTGATCCTGGCCTGACCTTCTGCCAATTCCCTGTCAATTGTTGTTTGGATTCAGTGATTTCTGCCTTCTGTTTGATCGCCTTTTCTGGAAAGGGCACAGGTATGGAGCTCGTCTAGGTAGCTGCCTCGCACCTGGACTCCTTGGCATAGACTCCTGGTGTTTGGCATCCATTTGTTGGAACATTGCGAGTGGTATTCCATCAATTCCCAGGGCCTTCTTTGTCACCAGCACCTTCCGTACAGCTCGAACTTCTTCCTTCAGACACTGTCGGTTCCTGATATGTCGGAATGTCAGCCATTTCTTTTGGTCTAGTGGCTGTGCTGTCCTGACATCCTCTTTTTATACTTTCTGCGTCATTCAATAGTTTGCCCATGAAATCCCTCAAAATTGCAGGTTCAGGACTGACTTTTTTTCCTGTCAGTTCTATCAGCCTGAGAAATGCTGAGTGTGTGCCTCTCTTTTGGTTTTCTAACTCCAGGCTTGCACATTGCATTTCATTAAAATACTTTCCTGTGTCTTCTTGAGCTCCCCTTTGAAATCTTCTGTTCTTTTACTTCATCATGTCTTCCCAGCACTGTAGCTTCTCTACTACGTTCCAGAGCAAATTTCAGAGTCTCTTCTGATATCCATTTTGGTCTGGCCTTTCTTTCCTGTCTTTTTAATGACTTTTCGCTTTCTTCATAGATAATGTTCTTGTTTTTTGTCTCACAATTCCTCTGGTCTCCAGTCACTCGTGTTCAATGTGACAGATCTGTTCTTGGGGTGGTCTCGAAATTCAGAAGGGATGTACTCATGGCCGTATTTTGACTCTGATGGTTTGTTTTCTTCTATTTCAATTTGAACTTGCATAGGAGCAATTGATGGTGTGTTTTACAGTTTGCCCCTGATGGACTTGATCTCTTCTTCCTTGTCTATGTTAGTCTAGAACAGCAGTTCTCAACCTGTGGGTCACAACCCCTTTGGAGGTCGAATGACCCTTTCACAGGGGTCGCCTGATTCATAACAGTAGCAAAATTACAGTTATGAAGTAGCAACGAAAATAATTTTATGGTTGGGGGGTCACCACAGCATGAAGAACTGTATTAAAGGGTTACAGCATTAGGAAGGTTGAGAACCACTGCTCTGGAAGCTTCCCTGAAGCCTGCCCACCATGGATGACCTGCTAGTATTTGAACTACCACGGGCATAGCTTCCAGCCTCACAGAACCACAGAAGCCCTCCTAGTATGACATACTGATTGATGAGCGGTAGAATACATATGCAGTTACACTTTTTCCCCCCCAAAAAAGAGGTTCACGCTGTACATTATAAAAATGACTTGTGGGGGTGTAGCTCAGTAGTAGAGCACAGCCTTTTGCACATATAAGGCCCTGGGTCTGTTCCCCAGCACCTACATACACACACACACACACACACACACACACAGGACTTGTACTAAATTCTATATCATTTTACATACTTGTATATATTTTTAAATCATTTTATTGGGGGCCTGTACAGCTCTTATCATAATCCATACAAAATCTGCACACTTGTATATTTCTATCGTATTATGCTGGGAAAGAAATTTCCAGACCTAGAATATTTGGGATAAAATGACACATTTACAAGAAGAATAGAGCTGTCATGTTGTTTTGTATGCTAACTTGTTCTAAACAGGGCTCAAGTACAGATTTGAAGATCACACTACATGAACAAGGGTGTCTTAATGTAATGCTACGGAGAGAGAGAGAAAGACGCACTGCTGTCAAGTTGATCCAAACCCTTGGCAGCCCTATCGGATAGGGTAGAACCACTGCAGAAGCTGTAAATAGTACAGAAACAGACAACTTCATCTTTCTCCCACAAAGAAGCTGCGGGGGTTGAACTGCTGATCTTTTGGTTGACAGCCCTGCTCCTCACCCAATGTATTTGTTCTGAGCACCTAAAAAGTCCGTGGGCATGCTAGAACTGGACGATGAGAGCTTGATGCATAATCGGCATCTCTGAGACCTCACAGAAGCAGAGGAACCAATCAGAGAGACCTAGGCTATAAACCCCAACCAAAGGCAGAAGAGGTGGGGGTGTCAGGTTGTACGTAAAAGACAGGATAATAACAGTAATAATCCTTGACATTGATCCAGCACTTTACAGTTCACACTGGGATTTTGCATGTTTTCTAATTAAAGCTTTGAATAGCCCCGTACAAAAATCTGACCAGCCAAAAATATACCATAGAATTTCTGTGGGCGGACATTCTGTATAAAGAAGCATACAGTGAGAATGTGGGAGTGGTGTTAGCTTATAAATCCCTGAGAAAGAACCACTGACCATATCAACATGGTAAAATAAAGCCAAGGGAGGTACAGAAATAGCCAAGATAACCTCGCCAGGCTGAAGCAGGAGGCAGTTGTCATCCACCTATGCTAATTTGTTCCTACCCAGGAAGGTGGAATGGATCGATGCCAAGCTCAGTACAAGTATAGAAAAGCCACCTGGAGAACTTGTCAATACTCAGATTCTCTCACTTCTTAGTCTCCCACGATTGTGACTGAGTGGGTTCGAAGTGAGCTCCAGAAATCATTGCATTTGAACAAGCCGATCAAAGCCTGCTGGTAGGCAGCTGTGTTTGAGAACCACTGTTCCAGAAGAACCTACAGGAAATCCATAAAGATTTGACTCTGGGTCGATAGTCATGTGGAACTACTAAACATGTAAGATAGTGGGCCTGGGTGCAGGAAAAGAAGAACCATCAATGTGGTTGAGTCCTCTGGTGGATAAGTACATGTTTGACAAAGGGGAACTCCCTGTAAATGTCATTTCTTTAGACGTTTGAAAAGAGCATTTGTAAAGCACACCCTAAGTTGTGAGTTGCAATTGGGCCCATGTGTTGCTGCGGTCAGAGTCCTGGCCTGGAGAGACCCCTGTGTTGGAGAGGGCCACACCCTGGACTGAACTAAAGCTGAGCACCAGTGTGACCACTTCCCACTGTATGACCTTAGACCTCACTTCTCCGGGCCTCCCTTGCCACCTCTTCTTTTCTTCTTCCGCCTGAATCGTAGTGGCTGCGGCATTCGTGTTTATCTGCCTGCTATTTCTATCCGTCTTTCTCTTGTGGCCTCCTTGTTTGGGCTAGCACTCAGTCTCTAACCCAATTTCTCTCCTTTTCCGTCTCTTCTTTATATTCTCCAATTGCTTATAGAAACCAAGAATGTAAGTGTGCCTCTTTGCATAAGGAGCTGTGATTACATTTAGGAGACATACATGGGTGCACACAGCATGCATATGTACCTACTTGGACTTCTTACAGTGGTTAGCAAGGGAATTTTGAGACCTTTGTTGTTCTGTTTATATCACCTCTCTTTCCTTCCCTGGAAAAGGGAGGTATAAGCTAACCTTTCACCTAAGCGCCAACTAAGCACTTGAACAAACCCACACAAATGCTCCCCCACCGGTGAACATTCATCCAGGTCCTTTCATGCCCCCACATTTTGCTTTTCTTTCATGTTTTCATTGCCTTTGCTTTAACCTTCTGATCACCTTGGCTGTCCATACCGCTGCTTGCCCTTGACACTGAGGCATTGTAACGTGAGCAGTCAAACAATTCCATCAGAAGGAATGGGTGGGTACGCAGGCTGGGGTGGAGATGGGGATGTTAGACAGTCCAACATCTGTCACTGATTTGATTTTGACTCGAATGACAACATTTTTTCCATCTGGGGACTTCCTCTCCTGAGTGTCTGCAGAGGCACCCTGAAAAGTGATGCCGATGACCCCTTTCCCATCCCTTTGCAGTGAAAACCTTGTTCAACCCGGCTCCGGCCCTTGCCGACCTGGACCCCCAGTTCTTCACCCTCTCTGACGTGTTCTGCTGCAATGAAAGTGAGGTAAGGAGGGGGGGGCGGGTCATAACACTGTGTGAGCGGACAAAGCCAAGAGGCAGGGACTCACCACAGCAGTTTGATCACATGTGAATGACTGACCACAGGGAGAACAACCCTCCCTTCTCCCCCCGCCTCCCGCCCCATATACTGGGGTATAGAGAAGAGGAAATATCCTAGGGAGAAGACAAAAGCATTTTCTGAGTCACCCCATAATCTGACCCTTATTAATGCTCGGGTTAATTTTGGTCTCTCGACTGCCCTCACGTCATGGATGTTCTTTTTTCTCATTATCCCACATTCTGTGGACTAACTCGTGGTAGGTTGTCAGATTTAGCAAATGAAAAACATAGATACCAGGTTACATTTGAATTTCAGACCATGAACTATATGCTAAGTATAGTAGAAAATTATTTGTTTTTATCTGAAATTCCAATTTAATTGGCAGCCTGTGTTTTAGGCAGCAACCCTAATCAGTATGTGGCCCTTGTGTTACAAGGACCTTGGGACAGTCCTAGTGGACAGGCATAGGTTCTCTCTAGCATATACCGTGGGGAAGAGCTGAGGACCACTTCCTTAGGGAGACACCCTCACAGCCCACAAGGACCATCGTGCTCCTGTCTGCATAAACTACTGGTATTCTACTACTTGTTCTAAAATATCTTAGGAATTTCAGTCTTGCTTCCCTCTGATAGGCTAGCTGGCACTAGGCCCGAGCTCTTCCCCTGTCCTAGACAGATGCATGACCGACCTTGGCACACACATCACCAGAGAGGCTAAGGTAACCTAGTGACCTCTGATCTGTACTTTTCCCTTTGGTTCTAAGGCTGAATAAAAATGTTTTACTATGCCTTTCAGATAATTTCATGTCATAGGATGTAGAAAATGCAAAAAAGACTGCTCCAAGAAGCATAATTTTCACAAACCATAATAGGCTGTACAATATTTTTAAACAGCCGCTGTGGCCAGACATAGTTCTAGACAAGAGTCCTAGACAATTTCACAATAAGAGGTTAGAGTAAAACATCTGTCAAGCAGCTTAAATTTCCTTTCGATCTATTTCCAGGGCCCTCTATTTAGTCTTCAGATACTCACAACTATTCAAACACTCAAATTATGAGCTCGAGGTTTCTGTTTTCTTCAGTAAATTACAGCCCCTGTGAGGGTAAGGGCAGCTCTTACTATCGTATCCCCAGTGATGGTCTATGCATACAGTTATATCTGTGTTATATAATCATTTCTTAATGTGTAATTAGCAAGAGATCAATTCACCTAGGCTGCATGACAAAAATGATGTGCTCCTAAATATTAAAGAAAAATGAGGAATATAGGCTAGTCTGAGATACACACGTATTGAAAGATGAAGAGGGTGGAGGGGACAAAAGAAAGCAGTAGCAGAGGGGAAACTGCAAGGTGTCTTCTGGAAGTGAGGAAAAGCAGGAGTCCTCAGATCCAAGTGTATGAACCCTGTCCTGTAAAGTAGATAAGATACACACCTCTTTTTATATACCTTTTAGGGTAGCTGCACAAATCAAGGCTCAATATTTAAGTACTTTTAAACTAGTAGAGAAAAAGAATGCTTATCAAGAAATTACCCTTCAGCTGACAGCGAGTCAGCATTAACCATTCACTCACTGTCACGATGGTGAGCCACACTGACTCTCTGGGACAGGGTAGAACTGCCTCACGGAGCTTGCGAGAACGGACTGTCTCTGGGAGGAGAAAGCCCCGTCTTTCTCCAGAAGAGCAGCTAGTGGTTTTGAACTAAGGACCTTAGGTCACAGACCAACTCGTAACCACCAGGGCTCCCTTTAACAACTGTAAATGTTAAAAGGCAGCGGACAGATAGCTTTGGAATGATTCAGTCCGCAGTCAACCTAGAATTCCATGTCCAGCCAAAGTCATATTGTAGAGTAAGACAAAGACATCGTCAGGCACTCAAAGATTAAGAACACTTTCCACTCACTGATCTTCATTGGCCTATTAATGGATGTTCTTTGGAAACAAGGGAATCAGAATGGAAGGCATGGGATACAAGAAAAACGATGTTCATGGGAAGTTGACAAAAACTATTAGCTAAAAAGGGAACTGTGGTTGTATGAGATCAAGCACTCAACTGCTAACCTGAAGGTTAGCTGTTCGAAAGCACCAGCCACTCTGTTGGGGAAAGATATAGGAATCTGCCTCCATCAAGATCACAGCGTTAGGAACCCCGGGGGGCACTTCCACTCTGCCCTGTGGGGTCAGTAGGAGCCAGAATCAACTCAACAGTTACAAGTGTGGTCTGGGTTTGGGTTTTTTAACTGAAAAAATTATAACTAAATTTTGTGTTTTATAAAAACTAAAATGGAAACTCTAGACAACAATCACGAGATGTTCACAGGGAGTCAAAGTGCTGTGGTTCTCATTTTGTGAGAAAAGAAGATGGAGGGTCTGTGTCACTGTAGACCTTGTTAGCTGAAGAAAAATGGGAATTCTCATCACAAGCCCACAGGAGTGCTAAGTCAATGCACACGCTAGGGAGAACCATTTGATAACCAGTTGCATTTTTATCGCTAGGTATACTAGACGTGGTAACTATACATGGTAGCGTAACACTCATGAATGAGCATGGGGAGACATGCCCAAGAATGTTGCATCATTGCACCATTGGTTGCAAAAGGGGAAAAATGGGGGAAATTTTAAGTGCTTGCAGTATGGAATATTATTCAGTTAGTAGAAAAAAATTAAGTAGTTAGCTTGCTAAAGCAAGGATGTTACTTTGAGGACTAGGGTGCATCTGACCCAAGCCATGGTATTTTCCCTTGTCTTATATGTCTGTGACAGACAATAAGACCGAAGACAAATGTAAACATTTGAATTCTGGTGCTGGTGAAGAGTATTTAATGTACCATGGGCTGCTGGGAAAACAGACAAATCTGCCTCAGAAGTACAGCCAGAGAGCTCCTTAGAAGCGAGGATACTTCATCTCACGTACTTTGGACGTGTTATCAGGAGAGACCAGTCCTTGGAAAGGACATGATGGTTGGTAAAGTAGAAGGGCATGGAAAGGCCCTCAGGAGAGAGATGTTGGGTTTAAACGTAACCATTTTGAGGATGGCACAGGACCAACTGGTTAAAAACCTTGTTTGAAAATCAGGTTTTTAAGTGATTTGAGCAAGGTCACAGAGTAGTGGAGGTCCTTTGAACGCCAGGGCACTTTATGGATATTTTGCTCCAAACCGGTGCTTCTCCTACACCGCTTCTGTCCTCTCCAGCAAGAACAAACAAGAGGAGTTGGTGGTGTCTGGACACAGGAACCTCGATCCAGTAACATGAGTGAGGCACCATGCCTCGAGAGAGGCTAGTTTGGTAGGTGCCAATATTTACAAGTAACATGTCTACCTAAATCACTGACAGGGGCCTCTCCCCTTCTCCGTTCCTGTATCCCTCTCTTCTTTTCTTGGAATTCTCTATGTTCTCCCCCTAACTCTTTATTGAGAAGATCATCATATACATAGAAAGACTGAAAGAGCAATACAATGAGCACTAATATACCCTGCATCTCGTTATTAACATTTTACTATATTTGTTCTCCCCCCACTCCCCGTCACTGTGTTTTTATTTTTGTTTTCATCGAATCATTTGAGAGTAAGTTGCAGACAACATGGTACTTCCCCCCTAAGTACATTAGCGTGCATCTGTTAAGTGGGACCATTATCACACCTAAGAAAATGATCAGTAATTTAACACTATTATCTAATATCCAAGCCATGATGTCTTCTCCAGTTGTCCCAAGCATTATTTTTATAGCAGTTTGTATTGTTTTTGTCTTATTTTGTATATTTTCCTGACCCGGGATCTGTTATAACATGTCGTAATATTGGTTGTCATGAAAAAGAAGGGAGATGTTTTCCAGGAAAACAAATGTCGTCTGGAAGTAGATTCAGGTTGTTCCATTCACATTTGTGTATTCCAGGCTGAGATTCTAACTGGCCTCACGGTTGGCAGCCCTGCAGCTGCTGGGAGGGCTGCACTGGTGCTGATGCAAAGGGGCTGCCAGGTCGTCATCATCACTCTGGGTGCTGAAGGGTGTGTGGTGCTGTCACAAACAGAGCCTGCCCCAAAGCACATTGTCACAGAGAAGGTCAAGGCTGTGGATACCACGGTAAGCTTGATGATACACGTATCATTTTTGGCCATTGGAAATCATTACTTAGAGGATGACAGTGGTTGAAGAGAAGACCAACCAGACAGGATGCCTGAGTCTTAATCTCTCCCTAACTCACAGTGAGACCTGATACAAGTCACTAATAGAACTTTTGTAAGCCTGTTTCTGGACCCATAAGATTAGAACACCTGTAAATGACACCTGCGTTGCTTTTATTCATTTGTTCATTCATCCAATCTGTAAATATTGATTGTACACCTATCGAGGTGTTAGACAAATATAATCTCTGCTACCATGGGGATTATATTCTAGGCAATAAAGAAATAGCCTTATCTACAAGTTTACCATGTGGAATGAATAGCAGCAAGCTCTGGTTACAAAAATTGCCAAATCGCTTGCTATTGGGTCAGTTCTGATTCTTGGCAGCGGCTTGTGCACCAGAGTAGAACTCCCTCTAAAGGTTTGGCAAGGCTGTGACCTTTCAGAACAGAATGCCACACCTTTCCTTTGATGATCCTCTGGGTGTATTTGAACTGGCAACCTCTCACTTCCATAACTGTGTGAGCCATTTCCTTGATATAAACGTCTCTATACATACACATGTTGGTATAAATCTCATATATATATATATATTTATTTATATTTATGATGCATTAAAAGAACTAAGAAATCATGCCTGAAGAGTCTAAAATATAGTGATGTTTCATCAAGTAGAGACTATCAATATGGAAATAGAAATTAGTTTTTAAAAATAACCAAAAAGGAATTATTTTTTTTGCAAAACTCAGTTGTATTTCAAAATGGAATTCTTAACTTGAACAGTACCACAGCTGAAATTTAAAACAC